TAATCTGACAGTGATTAAAATCACTATCATAAGAAACGCTTCGATGCAAATCTGTAGATAGTGTTTAATTTTAAAAAATTGATGGATAATTGCAAANGTCATATAAAATTACACTATAAACTTAAAATAGTATTCTTAAAGAATGAATTATAACATAACAGTATGAAAAATGTTTATAGTCTATATAACGTATTTAATTTTTGATTTTGTCACGACTAAAAATACTTGTAAAAATGATCTAAGATTCTGTATTCATCAACCTATGTTCATAACTATAGAATTTAATTAATTATTTCAATATTGGACTATTACCTCGTACTGTCTTTTACCCCAATTTATTCTATTATTTATATTTTTATAAATCCGATAGTTGCCCAGTGATTCGACTCCTATAGTCGATCATCTCTTGCTATCGGTGACTACCCAATTTTTTTATTTTCGGTAGCCTGAAAATAATAATTTTAAAAGAATAATTTTTTCTGTTGCGAGCTCTACACTTTGTAACTTTTCCAATCTATAAATTGGTCAATATTTTAGGTAAATTAAAATTTTATTTTAGGATTTTTTTTTTTTCAACCTACAAGTGAAAAATAAAAATTTATCACGTGCAAATTAATTTGACAATGTAACTTATAAAAATAGCTATTNCCTACAAGTGAAAAATAAAAATTTATCACGTGCAAATTAATTTGACAATGTAACTTATAAAAATAGCTATTTTGCAAACATTAATCACTACTAATAAAATAAATATTACTATTAAAATAAAGTTATTAAATTATTGATTCATAGTGTAATTTCGGTCTCTGTGTATTTCAATTTTACTTACCAAATTATATACAATACGATTTATAATATTTGACTTTTATATTCATATATTTGCTCTTGATATGTTATATTAATAACAATCTCAAAAAAGATCTTATGTGTTAAACGTTTTTCGTAATCCCTACATAAGTTTTAAAATATTATAGTATTATTATAAAGGTTAAAAATATTAAATAATAAGAATTATATAAACATAACATCACTTACAAATTTTGTAATTAAATTAATATGTTGATAAATAGCAACAACAATAAAATTATAAGTGATAATAAAATATTTAATGCCAAAATAGCTTTAACATTACATGACAATTAGTATCTTATAAAATCAACGTTTCTCTTTTGAAAAAACAGCAGAGAATAAAATATATAAGATGAAATGAAATGAAATGATTAGTACAAATATTTTATTTTTCTTAGTAAAAAATAAATGAAGTATTTCTTTAAAAATTATAAGAAAAGTATTTATATTGAAATAGGTTGGGTTGGGTTTATTTCTATTTTATTTCATTTAATTATTCCTTTTCTCAAAAAAATTAAATGTTATGAAATAATTTTTAATTTTAATTAGAAACATAATTATCATAATGCTGCTCACGTGGTGGTTTTAAGTAATTATGGGTAAAGGAGTACTATGATACAAACTGACACGGCCCCGCGTTACTTCGTTATACACGATGTCCCGCGGGTCGTGCCGCCTATATCAGCCATTGCCCTAGTACGAGAATTTGACAGACCAACATCGCGTGCCATACGTCACGGTGCAAAGTCCAGCAAGTGCCGCAAATGATATGTGTAGTCTTCTTACCGTTGTCACTTAGACAACGTCGAGGATGTACACCACCGGCTTCGGACTTGACGAGCCGATCCGCACCCGCGCACCGTCGCTACCAATGCTGCTAACTTTTTGACACCCGAGGATCATGCCAGACACCACGTTGTCGACGCCAGCGAAAGTACCGCGGTATTATACGAAGATTATTATTACTGTGTTCATCTTAACGGTTCGTTTGTTTTTTTTTAAATAACCTGTTGTTGCTCATTAAATAACGGCTCACGAGTCTCTACCCTCAAAACCAGTGTCGACTACATTATTGCGACGTAAGTCGTGTCAAAACTTATAATGCAGCAAAAATCAAAAGGTTCCAAAAGGGTGTCCAAGGGGATAGACCCCTGGGCACACGGATTATGAGGGTCTAATCAGTTATGGGTCATTCCATGTGAAATCACCTAATACCTTTTGTATTTATTCTGCGTTCTGTAGTAGATTAAGTTATTGGGACTCATTACAAAATCATAGGAGCAATGGCTAAGTTAGGAAAAGCTCCATTACTTTTCTTTATAAAGTTAATTATATCAATAAATATTGTTGATTCTTCAACTACGTTTTGACAAATTAGGAATTTTTCAAATAAATCATACGCAAAAAAATCTTTTTCATCTTCAGATTGAAGATGTAATACCAAGTCTATATATTTAGATCTAATAATTTTTAGTTTTTAAAAACTAACCTATTAATGTATAACTTAATATATATAAATATATAAATAGAATTAATTTATAATGTAGAATAAATTATAAGGAAATTGATAATAAAAATTATTCTATAATACACTAAAAAATATAACACATTTTATTATATTTTTAGAAAAATAAATATGATCTAAAATACATAATACATGATATATAGTATTTTATTTTCGTGTAGAAAAAATGTTGAAAATTACGTAATTTATGACTTATCCATAATACGTAAATTATAAATTTTGAAACTCTATAAGTGGTGTTAAAATTATATTATTTTAATATTGCCAAAAGAGCACATTAAAAAAATGGTCAAAAACAAGGTGTGATACTATTAAAGCAATAAAGTTTCATGTCGCATTCAAGAAATTATTGATGCGTTATGTGAAATATTAGATACAACACATGATCAGCTAATTAAAAATCAAACTAATTAATTAATTTCGGAGATTAGTACAATTGAAATCCTTATGAGTTTATATATTTGGTATATAGTATTCGTATACTACAGTATATTAGTCGAAGAATCAACAATATTTATTGATATAATTAACTTTATAAAGAAAAGTAATTGAGCTTTTCCGAACTTAGCCATTGCTCCCATAATTTTGTTATGAGTCCCAATAACTTAATCTACTACAGAACGCAGAATAAATACAAAAAATAAAAATTGAGCGTTGAAAATTACGTAGTTTGTGGATTTTCCATAATACGTAAATTGTAAATTCAGTAAGTAGCGTTAAAATTATTTCTCCATCATCAAATTTTCACCAGACGTTTTAATTGCTTAAAGGTAAATACTATGTAAATTTGTTTAATGTTAAAAAAAAATCAAAATTCATAAACCTAAGAATGAAATTTAAGTACTATTTAATATGAGTAAAACAGTGCTAGTTCCACAGTGATAGCTTATTTGAATGTGAAGTTATAGGCTCTAGAACATAGGGTGTTTTTTCATGTTTTTAATTATAAAAAATGTGCTATCTGTTAAAAAAACAATAAAAAAAAAAATATATTATTTTTGTTGTCATTGACCTTTAAGAAGTCTATGATATAAATTTCAAAAATTTCTGAACTATAGCAGCAAACACATAAGGTGATTTCACATGGAATGACCCTTATATGTAACCTAAACTTAAAAATACAGTAAATATTTTTTGATTTGAAATTTTTTTCGATCAGCTTGAATCTTAAAAATAAATTTTACTAGTTGAAAGGCGATTTATTGTTTCATTTTTATTTATTTATTTATTAGGTTAAAATAAGTCTATTAAGTAATTACTCCAAAAACAATTTATAATTGTTAATTGTTAATTAATTTATATAATTTATAGTTATTTAAAAAATAATTAATTTAAAATAAAATAATATAATTTTTAGTTTATTTAAGTAATTTAAAATAAGTATTCATAAAATACATTTAAAAAATTAAAATTTTAAAAATCAGTAATTTTTGACATTTTTTCAATTTTTTTTTCTTATTAAATTCTAAATTCTTAAAACTGTCATAACTTTTTTAAAAATGATCGAATCAATATAATTTTTTTTTTTTAATAGATTACCTTAAGTATTTACATATGATATATTTTTGTGAACATTTGACCCTTTACCTACCCATAGGGAGGGTTTCAAAATGGCAACTTTTTCAACTAAACTTTTGAAAATGTTCCGAAAATACTAACACTTTTATATATTATACTTTCTTTATCTTAAATTAAAGCTTATGTAATATACTTTAATTTGAAAAAAAAAATTTCCTTCGCACCTGTCTTCATGGTGAAAATGACTGCCGTATTCAAAAATATACTATTTTGGTGAAAAAAAATTCAAACCTTAAACTACGTCACTGACAATATTAGTAATATTACATTACAATCATTAATACATTTATTTGAAACTAATAGCAGATAGCTTAAAACAGTTAAAACAATCATAATATATAAAATTTGTTATATATTAATTTTATTTCAACATATTTTTTATAATATTATTTCAAAAGTATGTTAGTTTTACAATATGCGATAAAAGAATTCTGATATGCTGAAAAGTAAGTTTTATGAGACTGTATTAAGACCAACTATGATGTATGGTTCAGAGTGTTGGGCGGTTGGCAAGAAAATAGAGCAGAGGTGAGAATGCTTAGATGGATGAGTGTAATGACTAGAGAAGATAGGATAAGGAACGAACATATAAGAGAGAGTATAAGTGTAGCGTCAATCGTGGATAAGATGAGAGAAAATAGATTTGGATGGTTTGATCATGTTATAAGGAGAGAGAAATCGGAAGCTGGAAAAACAGTTGTAGAAATGAATGTTGAAGGAAGAAGTTTAAGAGGAAGACCAAAAAAGAGATGAAGGAATTTTATTAAATGTGATATGAGGATGGCTGATGTAAACGTAGATGATGTGGGGGATCGTGTCAAGTGGAAGTTTAGTATAAGGGTGGTCGACTCCAAGTAGTTGGGATTAAATCAAGGAAAAAGAAGAAGTCAGTTTTATAAAATAGAGAAATGTATGATTCATTTGTTCAATGTTTTATTAGAAACAAAATCGTATAAATTGTTCATAATTTCTTTTTCTTTATAGTTATAAATCTAAAACTATTTACAAAATACTATTGTTCTACCAAATATTTCATTTGGTGAACGTGATGGGTAAAAATTACAAATAAAACTATATCAAACTAATTTGACAATGGTTTCTTAAATAATTTTAAAGGAGTTATTTAAAATAACTTCTATAATATTACAAAAATTATTACTATTATATTCATAAATAACAAATAATATATAATTAATAACATAAATTTTTAGTGAGATCAAACAAATAACAATAATTTTTATAAATATCTAAAAATATAAAATGAAAAATACAAATTCCTGTATGCAATAACACATATACAAAAAAATTGTGAATATCATTCATGGTTGAACTTTACAAAATAATAAAATAAAATAACTCAATCGTTTACTAATTTTTTATTTAAATACTTTAAGGATACCTAATTTTAGCTACATTTTATATTATACCACTATACATATCACAGATACATGACAGGAGATCTCTTTATAATCTTAGCCAGTCATACATTTTATTAGCATGTGGTTGATTGAGCTTTATTAGGTTTAAATCTTGACATATAAAAATCGCAGTCAGAACAATATATGGACGGATGGTTAACCATTTTTTTACGACAGAGGTTACACGGAGACAGTCTAGAGGAAATTGTTGACTTGTCTTGTAGCCTGGGTGATGGGGGTTGTTGATAAACAATATATCTATCATTATTACCATTTGGAGTTGTACTTCTAGGCTTGCAAGCTACATTATTATTACTTCTGCATGACTGTTGTTGTTGCTTATATGAAACTGGTGGAGGTGGATGCTGATACGGTGGTAGTTGTTGTGAAAGAGGGTCATACACTGTTATTGGTCTACGAACAGTTGCTATGTTATTTTTTTGTACTGGTGAATTTATTGGTGGTCGACTTTTAGATTGCAGACTGGGTTGACCTCCATCAGACTGAGATATATTACAGTTATATTGTTGAAGTTGCTTGCGATCAAGTGAAGATGATGAAGATGAGTTAGTAGACGAAATACTCTGAGCATCAGGTTGGGGTCTAGAAGATTGAGGTTGCATTTGATCTTTCTTAGGATGAGCAGGAGGTAAATGTGTAACATTGTCAGTACGGTTATAAGGCATAGAATGAAAGCCATTAACCATGCTTCGTTGTCTTTGTATTATGTTAGGTCCTTGTTGTATAATGGGTGACATTTTATGATTACTCGGTTGAGCTGTAGAACTTTGTGCTAGATAGTTACCACCTCTAGATAACTCATTAGATATGTAATTATTGGTTAAAAACTGACCATTCAAGGATGGAAGTCCTTTTTGATTGTACCCACCAGCTTTATTAGCTGCATCGTATTGCTGAGCCATTCTTTCTAATAGTTGAGCTTGATTAGCAGACACACCTTGTTGAAGATAACCACCAGTTGATTTATTATTATTTACAGTATTGTTATTACGCTGAGACATATTTTGATTTTCAAATTGTTGATTAGTACTATTTGGCAAAAGATTTAATTTTTCGCACTGTTGTTGTTGAATATTCTGAATGTTAGCAACTACTGGTAGATAATTCTGCCTATGATCATTAATTCCAGGATTAATATAGTTAACAGAATGTATTTTCTCAGGACTCGGTTGGCGCACATAGCACGATGTTCTATTCTCCATTAAACTTTTTGCACAATTATTACTTCCCTTTTCGGATGACTGAGATTGATACTGATTTGTTGTTAATTGATTGTAAGATCGATTTTCGTTTATTAGGTGTTTACTATTTGATTCTGTGTTTGGCAAAGTAGATCGTAGTCCATTTTGTGAGTAATTCATTCTAGGAGTTCCAGGGGATCCTTGATACGAGTTTAGTTGTGAATTCAGTTCTAAACTAGACTGGTTATCTTGTTGTCTAGCCTGAGATTGAGTATCGCCATTAAAACGAAAATTACTTCTTCCATCTACAGACGAATTTTGTGGATAATAATTATTGGGCAACGTATTAATCTGTCTAGCAACTCTTTCTAAAGACGATTGATTTGATCTTGAATTTGGTGAAGAGCTTAGTTTATTTTCATTTATTTGTTGATAATTTAAGGACTGAGACTCATTATTTAAGATGGACATTTGTTGAACCATAGGTGAAAGACTTTGATGTTGCTGTGGGTAATGGGATGATTGCTGCGATTTAGGGTAAAACCTATGAGTTATGTTAGAAGATGATGATTGATTATTTTCCATTGAGTTTATAGTTAAGTTCGACAATGTATTGCTTAATTGTGTCGACTTAAATTTTGATTGGGTAATTGGCGAATGTGTTAATGGTGTAACATTTTGTTGAATAGGTGACGTACGGTAGTTTTTATTTGTTTCGGCTGGTTTTTGAGTTTGTTCAGGTAATAGTGCCTTCTGTTTGTTCTGAACTATTGGAGAATGTGGTGGCACTATTTGCTTAACTGGGGACATACAATATGATTTTGATGGCACATCAATATTTAATTCAACATTTGATTTATCTTCACAACTATTATCAAATGGTTTTAAGGTCAAGTTACTACGATTGAACTGACCAGAATCATTTCTTTTCAATGGAATTACAGATTTGGTTACTTCGCGACTTGACTCAATCGCAGGAACATCCTTATGAAGAACTGATCTAAGGACTCTTTCTAAAATAGGATTAGGTATATAACTATCTACCTCATCTTCTTCAGCAGTCGCGACTAGAACTACTTGTTCACAAAAAGTAACATTCTTCTTTTTCCCTGATTTTCTTCTAAAATCATTATTATCAAATTGACATTTGGTAAGTGCTCCTTTTAATTCTTTATCGGTCTTCTTTTCTTCTTCAACTTTAATAAATTCACTAATACTATCAGCGGGCAAATTACTAATAGCATGTGTAATCAAGTTGTCAATAATACCTTTTTGTTCAAATTTACTTTTTAAGTCTTTTACAATAGACTTTGATTCTAAATCTTGATACGGATGATCTGCATGAACGTCTAACATTTTAGTAACTAGAGAAGGCTGAATTTCAAGATCACTATATTCTTCATGGTTTATTTCTGATTTTACCTGGTCCATTGGCATACTTGGATAGAATCCATCTACTTCATCAACTACAACAGGTGGTGGTGGAAATTCTTCACTTGGTTGTCTAGAATGATTTACAGAATTTAATGGACTTGGATAAGGTGGTAACGGAAATCCAAGGTCATCAATATTATTATTGACTTCATTTTGTTCAGGGTTGTGATGTACTTGAGCTTGTGTGATCATAACATTTTTGTTTTCTCTATCTCTCTCTATAAGTATTCCCCCATTGGCATATGTCACTTCTTCTTTATGTAGGTGAATATACGGAAGTGACTGTGGCTCACAAAACCAATCATTTTGTGATGCGTTTGAATCTTTACTTAACTGAGAAGAAGTTCTCATCGGCGGAGGAGGAGGAACTTTAGCAAAATGCAAAAATTTGTTGGTATAAAAACTTTTTTTCATTAATTTACTTCTCAACAAATTTGGATTTTCCGTAGTTTCCAAATGTCCTTCTGATAAATAACCACTTAAATTATGCTGACTGCTTACAGAGTCTACCATTGAATCGTCTTTGGACATTGATTTTTCCTTCACTGGCGATCCCTTTATTTGTAATTCGTCTTCTCGTAAATCTGGCATACTTCGATTTTTTCGTCGGATTAAACCTCCCATTAATAGTTTTCTTCTTATTTTGTGTTGTTTTTTAACTTGTTTATTTTCTTCTGGTTTTTGTTTTTTATTATCCTTTGTCAATGAGTTAGTCACGAATTCTTTAGTATTTTTAGTTCCACGTTCCTCACTTCTTGCTCTTTTTTCACCTTCTTTTTTATGGGCTTTGCTTTTAGCTTGTAAACTTCTACTGGGTCTCTCGTACATTAGATACTCTTCATCTTCCACTACTTGTTTTGTTTTAGTCGATGATCGTGATAAAAGCCCTTTTTTATTTTTCGGTAAAGTGGCATAGATTTCAATACTTTTAACAGATTTATCTACCGGTGATGTTTGAATATAGGACAATTGCTGTGATGAAGAAAGTAATTCTTTACTATTCTGTTTTGTATGTTGAGTAGTTTTATCTTTTGAATTTTGACGACTGTGTGTTCCTGGAGAACCTCTGTTACTACAGCTACTACCTTCTCGACTGTGTCGACCCTCACCATCTACAAAATAAAATTTCATTTAATAAAATGTTGACTTAAAATAATGGAAGAATATTGAACTATTAAACAGTTTTACTTACGTTTATTTGAGTGAAGTGGCTCTTCAAGCCGTTTGTGTAAACTACGGGCTCTCATTACACATGTATTATGTTTCATTCTGGCAAAACTTGCTACCTGTGGATTACTGTAAGGTGCATCCATTGCTGCTCGAGCTTTACCAGCAGCTGCATTACACAAAGACAACGCCAAAATTAAATCTTCAGCAACTTCAGATTTTCCTAATAATTGATCAGCCTCAGCACAAAGTCGCTCCACTTCGTCCACTGCTAAACATTTTAACCATCAATAAATAATAATAAATGTATTTATAAAAATATTTAACTTGTACCAGAATGTTTTGAACTGTTGATTACTGTCGTATGAGTAGTTTGATGACCTTCAGGAATTTGAGCAAGCTAATAAATCAAACACATAAATAAAAGAAAATTGGTTATTTTAAATAATTAATTACACAAAAAATAATTACCTGTAAGTTATGCTTAATATTTTGTTGTAAAGGCAAACTATCATTGGAAGACAATGAATATGAATCATAACCTAAATCAAATTGATTGTTTGTTGTAAAATCTTTAGACTTATTGGGACTTCGAGGAGCGCCACCGAATGTATTTCCATTCCTGAAAAATTAATCTATATGTTGAAAATTATTTTTAACTATCATATTAAAATGATTACACACCTGCTTTGAATTTTACCAACAAAATACTGATAAGGATTTTCTAATGAAGTAGACGATGATGATGATGCACTGTTTCTATCACCACTCCAATTACCAGAATCTCGACGAACTAAATCACATTTTGGTGTGATAGACTTGGGCGAGTTAAGCTGATCATTGAAGTCATCTATATTATACATTTCGGTAGCTTTAGCCTTAATAACTGCTTGATAATGTGCCAGATTTTGATATTCGTTTCCTGACGAATTTAAAATCTAAGAAAAATTTAATTTATTTATAAATATTTTATTGATAAAAACCATATTAAAGTAACTTACTGTTTTTGATATCCCGATTGAAGAATCAAGGGTTGGGGTTAATGATCTCCGATGAATTTGATTAGAAATGGGTTTTTCAGGACTAGGTGTTAAAGATCTACGACCTTGTGTTAATCCTTGAGCATTATTTGTACAAAATGAAAGCTTAGTAGCTTTACTTATAGTTTTAGGAGCAGTCGATGCATCAATTGGAATACCTTCTGGAGAAGCAAATAAGAGAAGAAGAGGTTGATATCTACCACGTTTGCATTTTTCTACGACCTAAATTAATCAATTTTAATTTTTTAAATGGTATGCATATTTATTAATAAACATTATATATATTCTACTGACCTGTTCCCATCTCGGTCCTATTTCTCGAACATTGGCATCATCAAAATATATCCAAAGTTTAAGTTTGGTATGATAGAAAAATGTAGAATAATGTTTTCCATAGTACGTAACTACTCCAACAAGCTGATGTTGTAAGGGTAAACTCCCATCAATTACATCGAATGATCCGTGAAAAACATCACATAAGCGTAAAGAAGTACGCAAAGTATTTAGGAGAGCCATTATATGATCCAATGTTGGCCTATCTGAATCCCAAACAATCCCAACAGAAACAATTTCAGGTCTATTCATTAATGTTCTTCTAATTTGAATTTTAGCACCACAAGCACTCTAAAAAGAAAATAAAAAAATTTATTAAATTTTAAAATAATTAATTATAAACAAATTAGCAAAAAGAAGATCTTACCGGACAATCTCTTATATCCCCCATTCCGCCAGCTTTTTTTAGAAGTTGACCAAATAAATCAGCTTGACCTGTAGTAGGAAATTGTTTTACTTGAGCAGTTAAAGCAGATGCAGAAACATAATGAACCATCTAACAATTTAAAGGGTGATTAAAAATTATTCTAATGTTAATAGTATTTTAAACAAACCTGAGTAAACGGTAGAGGTTCAGAGGTAGCTCCACAAGCTCCACAAACACTTTGTTCGACAAGGGTCATGGCAAATTTTTGATGAGATATACAATGGTTAGCATTACACATATCTTCTGCTTCTTCATTAGCTATATGATAGTGAATACGTAATAAAATATTTTCCTAAAAAATATTAAAAAAATTAATATATAAATAAAATATTAAATTAGTTAAAAAAAAATTATTTCATTTAAATATTTAATTTACAAAGCATTCTGCTGCGTCATCCATAAACCCTAATTGAAAACGTCTTTGATCGTAAAAGGATTGAGCAAGAGCTTTCCTTAAAGCATCTGGAGGAAGAGCAGTTTCTGAACTGGACCCTAGTGCTGTAAATAACTCCTGTAATATAAAATATATTAAATTATTATTACTTTTTCATTTAGTTAAATTTAGGATCATTAAAAAAATATATAGAATAATAGAACACAAATACAGAATAGTGAGAATTTTACAGAGAATTTTTTTATAGTGATCATTTCATAAATTCTTATATGACAAAACTGAGATAAAACAATTATTTTAACTAGCTTAAAGCTTACTCAGATACAAGAAGTATCAGTATAACGATTATTAGCATAATGTGAGAGCACGGTAGAACTAACAAGAAACAATCCACCCGGTCTTTTCTATCATCTGTATCTCTATTTCCACTTAAGATAGACTTTTGAAATTTGAAGTGTAGATTAGACTCTAGTAGTTTAGAGCATTATAAAAAATATAACCCATGATGTGAAGCCATTTTAAAATGGGAAAATTTCAAAGATTTAAGTTTTGCTGGTTGAGTTATCAACAAAATAATAAGACACTTCCCGTATAAGCAGAAACGTAATTTAAGGGTGGTCTGTTACCTGTTCTGAATTATTAGTATATATATATATATACTAAAAAAAAAAAAAATCAAAAATGTTTACTAGTTTGTTGTTGTCATGGTAGAATTCTAAATAAATTGCACTTAGTATTATTATTTAGTTAGATCAATTATATTAGTTGTTATATCAACATAAAAGTTACTAAGCCGTGAATACTTATAAAATTAAGATATTTTGCTTTTTAAGATTTACATACATAACTATTCTGTTCGAAGCAGTCACTGGCTTATACGATTTTATGAGAATATTTAAACAATACAATATCCGGTCGTTATTTACTGTTTTCACAACAATTTCCCATAGTTAAATGTTGAGGTTTAATAGCAGTTCTTTTCTTAATACAAAGAATAAATATTTAAACAAAGAACTGAACTTGCTACAATTCATATGAAATCTATAGTTTTTTATATATCAATAAATCATCTTAATTATAAGTTATATTGTTTTGAAGCTCTTGGAAATGTAGCGTAATTTATTGCGACATGGGTTTATCACGATTTATATAGATTTTTGAAAAATGTAAGTTACTCCACCTACACTTTGTACCAACATGATAAACAGTTAAACAAAGTATAATAAATTTAATAGATCAAGGTAATTTCATTTGGTTGAAATTATTATTAAATTATATATATATATATATATATATATATATAAATATTTTGCTTTCAAATACATAACATTGTTATAGCTTTTTGATATAATTTGATACAGAGTTACATGGTAAAAAAGACAAGAAAAGTCATAAGGTTTAAAAATTATACAGACTAAAAATATTGTTAGTTTCAATAAATGTACTTAAAAAGTTAAATTAAAAAATCAGCCGAATAGACAAAAGAAATAACTCAATTAATTACATAGGAGATCGTTTAGTTAAGATATTGGAACAATTAATTGTGGAGATATTAAAGCAAGATAAACAATTAAATAAAATAAACGGTTAATTTCTAAAGCAGGACAGTTAAAATTAAATGAGGAGTGTAGCAGAAAACTTCATCATCGAATGTTTGGACAAAAAGGAGAATGGTTGTAGGGCACATTGCAGGAGTTAAAATGAAGACGATTATGGCCTAGTTTAAGCAAAAAAATAAAAGGAGATCGATTTGTGCCAGACAGTGATAAAGGAGAGAAGATAAGACCAATAAATTCAGTTAACTGTACGTAATATAGGCAGATTAAAATAACACACGTGAAACTACAAAAAATTAAGTTAATTAAAATTTTTAATAGTTTTTAGAATAAAACTGAAATTATACAACCGGATGAGAATAAAACAAACATGCAATAATTTTTTTACATGCCGTATTTTTAATTAAACAAAAAAAGGTCTACCTATCTCAATGAATTATATGAAATAGAATTTTGCTAATTTGTTTTACATTTTGTAATGATACAATCAAATATTTAAAAGTTATATATCGAATGTAAAATAAAAATCCATGCAAACTACAAATTAAGAATACGGTTCTTTAGTATATTTTATAAATAAAGTTTGTAATATTTAAAAAAAATAAAAGTTAAACAGATTTTTAATTTGAGTAATAACATTAATTAAAATTAATATACCATGCTGAATTTCAGTATCAAATTACACGGGTAACAATTTCTATAAATCCATATAACAGCTAAGTTACAAATTTTCTAATATTATAACTAAACACAAACTTATTTAACACGAAATTTTTTGAAGATTTCACTTAATCACTTTTTATTAACATTATAAATTATAACACATATAATAAAATAAAAACATTTTGGAATAGGGGTTACTTTTTGATTCCCACTAATTGCACCTATATATCTAATAAATAATTGTCTAAATTATTATTAATTATCTAAATCTAATAAATAGTTGTCTTTCTTTAAAGAAAGACAACTATTTTTCAGTGAATCATTTTTCAACGCGTCTATTTCAAATGCACTTGATAGTAATGGTAATAAGTAAAATGTAATTTGTGGTACTAGCTGTGGTGGATAATTTATCATCTTCGATGGATGATGATAATAAAAATAGAATGTCGATCTTTTCTTTAAACATCAAATACTTGATTTTGAACTATTGTGGGACGCTGCACGTACTTTAATTAAATACAATATTCTTTCGATAGGTTGTCGATAGAGCAAACTTCTTTATTGCCCGCAGGGGGTTATAGAGAGCGGTCTGTTGTTAACCGGTTCCCTCGAAAAAACTGCTACATTGAAATCAGGTACACTACTACCACCACTACAAACCCAACCCAACTGTCATTATCAACAGTTATATAGACTACGTGTACGAAATACACGCAGTACCTAAAATCCTTCAAACAGCTCACGAAGATAATCGATGCAATTATAAAAAAAGAAATGCATAAGGAACCGAAAAATGAATAAATATAAGTATAAATATCGCACTTTGAGTAGTCAAGAGTGGTAACTCAAAATATAACATATATACACGGAACGAATTTATCATTTTCTGTTATTGATAAATAATATTATTTAGTATTATAGATTCTACATAATACGCTATTGAGTTGTAAAAGGTGTCATTTTTATCATAAAAAACATGTAAATACGTCTAAACTAATTAAACGATAATTGTTTTTAAAAATGTATTCATAGGAACAAATATGGGGGGCATGGTTGGGCCTACAAAATTTCAAAATACCCTTCCTGACTATAGGCGCAAATAATAGAATACTTTGGCTACTTAGCGCCCTCTGGAGTGACATTAGCATCAAAAGCCATTTCATCATTCTTCAAAAATGTTGCAAGAAAAAATAAAATAATTAGTTATATTATACAAATAATAATTGTTTTTATTTTACTTTGATTTTTAATATTATAAGTGTACGATGTCATCAGTATACTATGTGTATTTTACATTTTTGTTGAATAACTAATAATGCAGTTAATTATATTTAATACTACAATAGTAGGAAAAAATGCATATACGGAGTGTTCAGTAAGTTAGGAAACAGTTAAATTGTTACAAACAATGAGTACAATAGAAATTCGTTTCCTTATTTAATGAACACTCTGTATATATATATAAATGATATACATAATTGTTTACTTAAAAATAGAAAAGGAGGGGAACACCATTTGAAGAGGAATAAAAAAAATTGTTTTTATCTTTGGAACTTTAACATTCCCAAGTTGAAAACAATAATTGCTCCTATTTTCATTTTTCATATCCTATGATTTTGTTAAAATCACGTCTATGAATAAACTGTTAACTGTCTATTAGATTAATTTACTAAAATTATTAAATATAAGATGTGTGCAAAAACTAGAAGATATATTATATGAGTGACCATAATAAGAAGGAAATATGAAATTTAAACATATATAAATAAAAAATTATAGATCCACGTAAATATTAAACACCTATTGTAAAATTTCACATATGATGTCAATTTTTAGAAAGAACAATGTAAAAAGAAACTAACATACAATCACGACATGAATAGACAATAAAAAAAAATGACAATAAAAACCGATAATAATTGAAAAACAAAAAAGAACTTCTGCTTTCTACTTATTTAATTTAAAACAAAATTATGTCTCTTACCTTTAAAGCACAAAATATGCACGATTCTTCCATACAAGCATGTCCATAAAGTTCTCGGAAACTTCGTCTGAATATGTCCAAGTGCCATAGTACCTATATAATAAATAAAAATACTATTTAGGTTTTGTATGATTTTTAAATCTACAATATCATAATTATACTAAATATATATTATAATCGAATTCATCACTTTTCATAAATGTGTAAGTCGTTTAGTAAATTTAAGTCTAACATTTTTAAAAGACTCAAAAACCTTTAAAATAAATATTATTAGACTAAAATTTAATTAACTTTTTTTTCAGACGACTGGTTGGATATGACAAGATAGGCCGACAATATGTATCGTAAGTAGGGGTTGTACTGTTTAAAAAGAGTTCAACCTAACAAATTCTACATGAGTCATAGTAAAGACATGACTACAATCCAACATCTTTTTTTATACTCGTAACAGTCGAGAAATTCAATTTATAATTCACCAAGTTTATTTAACCTATAGTATATGTATTTAAATAAATTTTACTATCTCTTTTTTACGATCGAAACGTAATACGGAAGGTATTTAAGGGACTATTATTCAATTTGTATTAATTCGAAGTCAACTAGAATATGCGTCTCTAATATATGAACCAAATTACAATACATCTATATTTAAGCTAGAAACTATTAAAAATTTTTTTTTTTGTGAATTCTGTCATTTAAGTGCAGAATAGAAAGGCTACCATATAGATGATGAAGTTGTGCATTTCTTCAAATTTACTTCTTTAAATTTTACTATAAAATACTGTATTTTAATTTCTTAATAATAAAACACATAAATCGTTGTATTCAAAAAATACTTAGAATTGTTTAAGTGCATGAGCGCAAGTGAAGTAGAACGTCCCTGCATTTCCAAATATTATAAATAAATAAAATTAAAAAATATATTTGATAGAAATATGTCACATTTAAGAAAGAATAAACCCTCAAATCCCAAAATTATAACCTCAATAACAAAACATTATTAAGTTTTCAAGTCAATCAATAAAAATTCGTACTGGCTGATGATGTGTGTGCCTTCGGAATAATTTAATAAAATGTTCAAATACATATAATTCCCATTATTTATTATATTTATGACATTAAATGTCATCACCTTTTCTTAAAATAATTCGCGAACATAAATGTTGAAACCGTTTGTCGTGACCATCGAAATCATGACTTTCATCTTTTAAATAATAATAATCAGCTTATATTTTGCTACATTCAGTATTATATATACTATGTCTACAAGTTATTATAATCGATTAGCAAGTAGATCATACAAGCAGAAAAAAATCAAGAACAAGTTTTTTAAAAGTAAATTTCTCAAATATTTTAATAGCAGTTCAAACATACCAATAAAAAAAATTAATGTATTTTATGATCTATCAATAACATTAATTATGTTAATTTAATACAACTTTCATTAATATTATAATACTAATATAATAAACTTTATTCAAGTTTGTCAATCAATGGATAATTTTTTTTTATAAAAAATAACATTTTTATTAAATATGTTCAATATATTATAGAGAAAATATTACTGCGGTAAATATTGTCATTTAATCAATGATATAAGAAAATAAACTCAATATCAAAATGGCGGGTGTCCAGTGAGTTTAGTGACCGGCTAGAGAGATAGCGCGGGACAGAGAAGAAGAGAATACTAATGTCATGCTCTTCTCTTACCTTGGTGATATGAAAAAGTGCTCTTCTTTTCGACTTGTTCGAAGAAACCTGACGATGTTCTCCTTTATCCATTTGAATTGATCTATTTCTTAACCACCCTAATACACTTTTTCATTTTAAAACACAAAAACTCGAAAAAATCATACTACTTCATGAAAAACTACATAAAATTTAACAGCTAACCGGCCTAACACCACTATTACAATAGACTGGTTGAATGCTGGGTAACAGGTAACACAGGTGCACAGATCCTAGCGCTATTCTTTTCTTTAGTGGTGGGGAAAGCGGTCGTCCAGTGTACCGCATATACATAAGACCACCTGCAAACCATAGCCGTTGTAAGAACGTAATAGTCCTGAAGATGTATTTCTTTGCACTTAGTACAGGATAACGATGAACGCACTCCTGGTTACGAGACACGTATAATATTGACTTTTTCATCAATACAGCATAAGTTATATTATTGAAATTTAAACAGAATTTTCTTATTATATGTAATTAAAATATAAACCCAAAATATTTATGCCGATACATATAATAAAATAATAGTTTACACATATAAATTATAGATAAAAAAATGAGTAATAAAAACATTTTTATGTAACGTAATGAAAAAAACATATAAGAGAAAAAAAATCAACTGATTAATTACCTAGTTAAAAATTATTAAAAATTTGTTAATGTAGTTAGCAAACAAAGTATTAGTTGACATGAACAATGTTAAGTTAATATTATTTGACAAAAAAAATGCTAGTGTGATAATATTAACTTAGCTTAATCAGATAAATTCTTACTGGGCTAAATTAAGAAAAGCAATAAGGTTTTATTAACACTAAAAATTATAAACATTAAAATTGCTTATAGTTTATTAAGGTAATGATAGCACTATAACACATCCAACCGAAATTTAAAATTTCATATGCAATTTCTCAACATTTTTTTAATTATTATAAATAGGCATAGATTATCTATGCCTACCCTTGAATTTCGCGCCGCGACGACGAGGTTGGCAGTCCTGAATAATCGGTACCGCAGAAACCGGTTTCCAGGACCCATAGGGAGTTTACTACGACTTTTACTACACCGTTTTACCAAGAGATTGTATATCTAAGAGCACGCAAGTAATAAACGTAACACAACACAAAATAAAACCCGCCATAAAAATTATACTCCATACTCAAAGAATCAATTGAAAACGTACGCACAAAAACCCACTATTGTATTTAACAAACATTTAATTTTATATTTCTGATGTCACCCCCACAGCAACTTGAGTAAACACATTATTTATCACTGAATTTTATTTATATATGCCAGTTTAATATAAGTTCAGTGTAACAATAAGTGTAGCAAGACAGTGAATAGAAGTTCAGTGGTTTTCAAGATAAAGTTTTGATATTTTTATTATTTTTAACGAATTTTTGTTGAATATAGGAACGATAAAAATATTTTCAAAATCGATTAAACATATTTCTATCAAATAATTATTTTATAATAAGCGGAATACTGTCAATTCACAACATGAAAGATGATTTAATAAGAAACTTGTGTTTGGCTTAAATATACAATCATTATAATCATTATTAATACATATAAATAAAATGATGTAATTAGGTAAGTCTACCTCTTTTGCCTTATAATGGTTGCAACTTTTTGTTTTAAAAGTAACGTACACATTTAGTAAGTTTTACAAATATCTGTTAAAAATTGAACTTAAAACGCAAAGTAGCTATAAACTATACTTTATAACTACTAATAGGTACTTCTGTTTCACGAACTTAAAGTTCTAGTTTCTTAGATATTAATAGTTAAAACTATAGTGTACTTTTGTACAACAACTAAAGATAATGAACATGTGTCATTTACGAACTGTTTGCTCACCGGAACTCAAGTTTGGTACAACCAAAACCTAATATTCCACCCTCTCAAACAGTTTTTCATTAAACTTATAAAATTATTCAAACAACAGCAGTACTTTTTTGATATGGGGACAAATATTGATCTTCGGAGGCGAGGTTGCGTGGTGGCCGGAAAAGTCCTACGTAAGAAGATGAAGCATGCCACCTACGATCATTACATCGGGCCCAACGTCTGTAAAAGTCGATTAATGGGCGCCATGAACCGTAGGAAGGAAACTATCTTATTTTTTACTATAGAATAGTAATATTATTATTATTATTATTTAATGTTGTTTTAATAATATCGGCAAGAGTTCAAGGACTGATACAAAGCGACCAAATTTTTAAAACTTGCGCCCGACTAGACGATTTTCACATTTTTACTTGCGAGTAATTGTACAACTCATGTTAAAGATGAAGAATCCTAAATACACATTCAAACTTTAAACTACTATTATTATTACCACGATAACATTTTACACGAATAAATGTATGTGCGTGCCATCTATTGAGTGCTGCATCACCCATATTATTATTTATCGAAAAACACCGTACCTATCTATATATATATTTATGCTACAAGCGTATAACTATAGATAAACGTATAATCTTCTCTCCAGCCTCCAGAAGATTTGACGTGCGAGAAGTTGTTGGCGTGAGTGGCGTACGCTAGCATGAGTGTTGTGTGCTCGTATATGTAAAAGAAACCGGTTTACTTGGACGCATGTAAGTTACAATATTATGTACGAACGTGCAGTTGCTACCAACTTCTGATATTATAACGCGCCGCCCGTATTCATAATAGAAGAAGTCGAAGGTACTTCTTTTTTATACACGTCAAGTTTTATACAAGTCTTCATCGCACGTGTCTCGGACTCCTTAATTATAATTACCCTTTAGACTAATTTCATGACAATAGATTTACAATATCACATTGAATAGGTTTAGAATGAAAAGATATTTGTACACTAAAAAAAAAATATGTATTAACATTATTGTTATTACTAATAAATTTATTTTTACTAAAAATAGTTAATTGTGTTTTTACTAAAACACAATAAACATGATGTATATAAATATGAACTAAACAAGTGGAATCCACAATCATGAGTTTACTAATATATCATTGCGAACATATTATATACTATAGCGCTCTTTATTGTGTGTTAAATTGTATAAAAATAATTTGAGTGTTTGAAACAAAAAATTACTGAGAACATACGATACCTTTTATACGGTCGTATATACCTTAAGCCTTATTTAGAGTTACGCAAACTGTTTCAAGAGAAAATAACATTACTATTAAAAGAAAATTAGTATTAAATACACTCATTTTGCGCCTCCCTTAAATTTTTAATGAAAATATTTTATATCGACATAGTTTAACCCTCTATCCCAACTTTTCTTACGTAGAACACTAAATTAAATAAGACGCACAACTTCTTCGAGTCTCTTAACTTTCTAATAGTTACTCTCCCAGTTATAATTTGTATTTTTTAAAAAGCGACCTGCATAACAATGCGCGTCAGTAAAATGGAAACAAATGTTGATGAGATAAACATTTAAACTGGACATATTGTAAAATAAATACCCACAATTACCGGCGTAATTTAAACAGAATTTTCGGGTTAGCGAAATTTAAAAATATTTTATAACTAAAAGCGTATAATTCATGTAAACTAAAAAGTTTTATGAAAGATGATCTGTGTTTCCGTTCTCCACTGGCTAGTTTCAAATCTATATTTTATGAGGCCGGGTAATAAAATATTATATTATACTTCAAAAAAAGCTTATTCTGTTCACAATACCTTTTCCATATTAATTGATCCACTTAAGTCAAAATAGTTTTCATACATACTTATAGAAACTCTACTTTTGTAAAATACTGATTGATAAAACATTTTTCTTTGTCATATTTCAAAAATTAATACTTAAAACTTATTAGAAATTAATAAGAAAAATATTTAATGCTAAGCTATTTTATGCGCACCTAATTAAAGAAGTACATAATTCTGTTAAACTATTAAATATTTATAGATAAAACAATTTTTTGAACTATATAGATTTTTTTGAACTAACATGCATTTAATTCTTATCGATATTTTGTAAAAACATTAGTTCCCTAAATTTTATTTATAAACTCATAATTATAAAAATTGTAAACCATTAATTTCATTATAATAGTTATTATTTCGAAATTAATTCTTTGTGTATTTTTATAAGAATATTCATGTTTGCACATAAGCTCAGAATCTCATTAAAAAAGTTATATTTGACTACATAACTAAAAAAAGCTTAACATTTAGTAACGTAACTTAATGAATATTAGAGTACCGGCCTGACAACTAGTTATGCTATTCCAAATAAAATTATTATATTAAAATAAAAACAAAGAAAGAAATCACGAAATTCAAAGTGGTTGTGCACGATAACTGTCTGTGATCTGTCACTGGTTAATGGTTCTGGCGACTGTCGGGGTTATTGTGTTCGACCTCAGTCTATAAGGATACTGTAATAATAATAACTTTTTTCTTAACTTGTAAATTTATTATTACTAATATAATAATATAATTCCACTACGCGTGTTCTTTGTCTGTCTACATAATGGACGTTAATAAATCTTAGGTGTATTGCCAACGCGCGTGATCAGACCAATAAAAACTAGGCATAAACTGGTTATTGACAAGCGCGTGCCGTTTTCTTTTCTCTAACTTTAATTATTAAGTTTTAAGTTTTTATTTTTTGAAAATCACAGCATTTGATAATAGTTGTCTCATGGCAAACAACCGAATGCATAATATTAGTACATCACTTGTAACGTATCTGTCAATTCAATAAGTATCGAGTTACAGAATATACTTACTAAGTAGATTGTATGCAAAAACGTACGATTTCCCTAGCTAAGCAGGCGATAAACAGCTGTATCGACACAATCGTCGCAACAGGTTATCATAATCGTTGCAACGTCGTCAAACAAGATAGGGTAAACACAATAAAAAAAAAAGAAATTCTATTGTTATCTTAATATTACAATAATAAAATGAAAACCATTCAGACATACGATATATGTTTTTTAGAGTTGACGCCAAAAATTGAAAAAACATACTGACCACTCCTGTACATCAGCATTTAGCATTGGCGCCTAAAGATCAGACGTGGATATTTTGTTGGCATAATTCGATCTATATATATTATCTGAAGAATATGATGGTCGCTTGGCTTTCTCATATTGGCAAATCTCATAACACTATTATCGAATTGAAATATTATTCAAACAAATTAAAATATATCTGTATGAATTGTAGTTCATAGTAATATTATAGAAATATATTTTATAAGTAATAATGATTATCACTGTTATGTATTTTTTATTATAATGGAACATTGTTTGAAAACATTATCATTTTATATCTATACTCATTACTAGAACTAAATATCAGTGTTTAAATTATCTAACTTAATTTTTATGTTATCCAGTTATTTCAATGTCTGTTCTGATTACGCTTATTTTAAGAGATCTTCAATTCACTATTTGTATTATACTACATCGTGGTAAAATGAATGACACATAAATATATAAAAATAATTTAATTTTTAAGCACGAAAACTGTAAAGTCGTAAATAATGTTTATTTAAAGTGAGGGGACAAGAATAAATTGTACTAACACTCAAATCATAGCATTTTCGTAAAAAAATATTAATATTATTGAATGTACTGAATACAAAATAATTTAAAATAAATTAAAAATTGTATACATGTATCAATATTTGTATTTTATAATATATTATACAGCAAATGACAAACAACAATGTTAAAGAAATAAACATTAATTGTTTTTTAAATAGTAATAAAAAAAAAAATACTTATGTTTGATTCATCCAAACGGAAGGTGGGTCCTGGTAAAATCTAGTTTTTACCTTTGAGTATTTTGACAACAGGGATACCTAAGATCATTTCACATAATAATCTTATAGTAAAACTCATTTCTCTTTTTTTTTGGTACACCTGCGCATCAACTACATAAATATTCAGGTAGCATATGGTATACCATATAATATCCTTCAATGTATCCAACGGTCAAAAGAAACACATGAAGTTTCCGATTTCAAAGGACAGTAACAAAAAATTACCATTAAGAAAAAAATTATCAGACGAAAAAAGTTTCTAAAACTCTTTATATTGATGTATAATTAAATGTAATAATTTTAAAAATTATATATATATAAATTCTGTCCAAAATCGATCACACTTATCACTTTTATACAAAAAAAACCTAAATATTGTAATTTAACAAGTATTATTTATATGTTGTTTTTCTTTTACGATTCCAAGGCTAAATTAATAGTAAAATGTAGTAATACATATTACAAAATATTGAACGTCACTCAGTAACAAATCAGAATTCAAAGTTCCTCAAACTTTGCTCTAGGCAATAACAAATAAAACCTTTCTCCAATATGGTTTCATGCATTCTCATGCTTTCAAACTGTATAATATACTACAGTGTATTCATATAAAGTATACTTGGATAAAATAATTTTTGACCAATCTCGGTTAAAAGGGACTCCTCTTCTTTTTTATTTTTCGTTTAATATAATCCAAATAAACTGTATATAAGTTAAGGAATTGTCTATATACAATTTATTTGGAAGATTAAACAATATTATTCGTAGTTAAAATAAAAATATGTTAGAAATTCACATAATATAAGTCAACATCAAAATTATTTCTACATTGTCAAATGTATATTTTATATACCTAAATGACAATCAAAGTAGAATTATTTTACAATAATAATCAATTTCAATATTATCACGTACTTTAGACGCATCCTAATCTAGCAGAAGATTAACCTCGATGACCATGCCATTCCATCACGCGTTCTTATACACCAGATTCCTAATGTTTCACTTCACTGAATATATGTCTAAACGTCTACTGTAAGTTCAATTTAAATCGATCACTGCTACATACAACCTTTGATTTTCATTTCATCTACACGTTAAAAAAAAAAGAATATATTTTTTATCTTCTTGTCGTTGATAAACTAATTGGATTTCTTGACAAATAAATTTGACTGATATTAAACATTTTAATATAAAGAAATATATTTTTTCCTTACAGATTCATACACACGCCTCAATGTTTATTTGTCCATTATGACATGTTGTTATAAAAATATATGTAGTCTAAATTGACTGAGTTAGAAGTATCTCCTGTTGTTCAATCGGTAATTTACAGTTCAGTACTTTTCATAAGATAAACGGATAACAGCTGATTGTCATCAATTAATTAAAATCATAATAATTTCACGGATATATCTGATGAATACTGTGTAATTTCATAGAAATTGTATTAAATTAACAAAATAAAACTTAAAATTAAAACTGACAAATTGCTAAGGTGGTTTAAAATGATAAAGGCGAGGCTCTACAAGCTTATTTGACCTCTACATATGTGTTAAGCTAAATACTTGTATAGTAGAGTGCTCATGTGATTAAACCAGTTTGACATGCAAATACTGTTAAACGAGGATCAAGCCGAATAGAAAATCACGCTGTTAACGAAAGATTTATTGAAGAAATATGAATAATAAAATGAAAAATGAGATTATCTATTTTTTTTTAATTGAGTTTATCTGTAAAACCATTTTTATGAGATATACATGTCCTTTTTTACTTGTGATTTTTTTTTTCATCGAGGGCTAGGCCGAATTGGAAAATATGTTTAATATAGTCTCTTAGAACCCAGTTCAAAACACAGGTTTTTTATTTGCAAAGCATTAAGACGCAACAAGCATTTTTAGAAATATTAAAAAATTATAAGGAAATTTATGTTTAATTATTAATTAGGAGTTGACAATAAATTTACTAAGATTGAAAGACGATATATAAAAATTATTTAGAACGAAGATGGATTTTTTGCTAGTATTTTAATAAATACTAGATGTATTCAATGATAATAATATTTTGGTTGGTGGACATAATGAATAACATACAGGAAGCGATTAGGAGTTACATGCTGGGTGTCACGCATCAGTTATTCCCCTTAAACAGGTATAGGTAAGCAGCAAGGATACAATGTTATAGGAACCTCTGTATAAGTGAGACTTTCTGGTGAAGACACTTTTCCAGAGCTAATATATGTGCGAGCGTACAAAAGAACAATAGATAATACACCTGTGCGCCACTTGAAGTTCTCATACTTAAATAAAGCAAATTGGACTACGTATACAACTGTGTATATACTTTTATTTTCATATAAATAGATTTTCTAAGACTAATTTGCTTATACAATTTACATTAAATTTGTATTACTCAAACTTTTTTATATTTTGTTTTATAATAGAAATACCATTATGCGCAATACTCTAACAATAAATTCCTAATAAGTTTAAACATAATTAATATTTTTTCTTATATTATAACAGCGTAATTTTCACTAATATTAAAATAGTTATTTGATAGGTTACATTAATTACTTTTTTTTTTATTAAAATTTATCAAATTATGATCACCAAGTGCGCTATTATCGGTGCATTTTATGAGGTTTAAATTTTAAAGTCGTACTAAAAGTAAAAAGTTTATAAAAATAGTAATATTATTACATAAAAAAGCCAATTACTTAAATTTATTGTATCAATCCTCTAACGTAAGTAAAAGTTGAATTTTAGTGTTAAAGGAAAATTACAAAATTACTGGTAATATTTTGGGTTTAATATTAATTCTATTATAAAACCAAATACAAAATTAACAATATTAAAATTAGTACATTTATATATTATATAAACTTTTATATTTTACAACACACACTATTTCTAGTAATAATTGGGGGTCAGCTATATCCCTTTAGCTCTACTTGGCTACTCCGTTCTACTCATATCAAAATCAGAAATTACAGTAAAGTACTATTTATTTTGTCATAATATGAAGAATTTAAAAAAACAAGTGTTTCAATAATTTATCATTTATATAATGATTTTATAAGTGGTAAAAATTATCTTATGTATTGTATCATAGCTTGTCATCTTGTCAATCTTAATAAAGTTCAAAGATAACCTTACTTAACGAAATTATCTGTTTGAAAGGTATTTGAAAATATTTTAGTAACAAACGTATGAACACTAATATAAGACATTTCTATTAGCTTACTCAAAATTGAATTAAAATTTCACTCAGTAAAACTAACTTATCTAGAAGTTTTTGCATCCGATTTGATAGAGCTTAGTTACAAATAATAATTTATGTGAGTATTACTCATTTATTAATTATCATAAAGGCTAATAAACTAAATTATTGCTGGTATATCAAAAACATAGTAATGAGCATAGGTTCTCACGTAGATGCGGTTTCGGTTGGTAAGCAATTCCCACGAAGCCCTTCGACTATGTAATATATTTTCACGGACAACCCTTATGTCTTATTACGAGAAAATTAATTTTTGCTTCCTTTACACACTATTGTTATCGTGCGCACACGCCGGAACATTGGTCTAAGTCGAAATTTTGGATTACATGCAATAAAATAAGAAACAACTTTGTGTATCCTTCATTGGGTGCTTCACACCTGTGCCTAACCAAACTACGATGTTTAATATTAGAATTTCCTTTTGATTTTTCTAACACAATGTTTTTTGTTGGTGCTATTCATATAAATAAAATCATTAGCAGCGTAAATGGTCAATTGTCATGTCATCCCACCGAGGGACGACAAATCCATACATATTACACTGTGTTTATAAACCCCTCGATAAATGCCTTGAACCATCGTACCGTATATCCTGCTTCCTTATAGTCTATTGACGAATAAATGTAAAAAACCTGTCCGTCATTATACCGAGTTAAGTGTATTGATGTGTTATTTTAAAAAAACAATTTGTTTAGACAAAACTAGGTTACTATACAATTGCAGTAATCATTCAAGAAGTTTATGAGGCCACTAAGTATGATTTCCAATACATCATATGCAATTATTATATTTATAATACCTAAATATAANAATTATCTTCTTTTTTACTGTGTTACGACACTCCTTAAAATTTAAAAAAAAACAGCGATGCAGAAAAAAACTTCTTTGATAAACAGAATAAAACGGTTACGGGAGCCAAAAGAATCGAGTACTCCGGTCGGTACAATTCTTAAATGTAACTCTGCTATCACACCATATTAATCTTCATCTTTTTGCTCTTGTTTACACAATTACAGTTAAGTGTAATAAGAGATTTTCATTTTCATCGCATCATAAGGAGTATCCGTTTATTAACATAATACATTGATTGCCACCTCCGCATATAAAAGTTCATTATAAATGTCTCAAAAATTAGACCTCACATTTTCTTTGTTCTTATATCAGTCAGTTGCGTATCCTATATGGGTAATTTTAGTGATTTTGTACAATTTAACAACACGTAGTGTATGTTTGTGTAGTCTTTAACTCTTAGTTTTATTTGTTTTTTAACTTAGCTGAAAACATACCTTATTCAATGTAACTAACACGTATGTTTTTAATAAACACTCCTAAATAACTACAAATCTCTTTTTTAAATAATACCATTAAACACTAATGTCAAATAGTTGACATTCTACTTCACTAATCATTGCTGCTCATCGTTAGTCATCATCTCTTCGGGGATATAACTCTGGATGTATCTCTTGCCTCAATATATTTAGGTAAGAGTAATTTTAAGACAGTGTCCTTCACATTACCTCTCCACAAACCTTCTTTTTTTAATTATTTTTAATTACTATTTCTTAATTATATGTTACTAAAAAAAAAAAAAAAAAGAATAAGACTCCCTAAGTTCCTTTAATTACGACTGCGTTAGTAGTATCTAACTGAATATTTACTTGTAGGTAATAGCACTTCTTTAAAGGTTTCTGAAATATAAATGAAAAAATAAATATAACACTTTACACAGTGGTAGTAAAATGATTTTGTTATTAGAAAGTTTAATTAAATATTTAATTCAAGCAAACTCATTTTTATTAAAATAAGGATGAGTTAGCTATATAAAATACACTAAAATTGATTTACAGGGGGCCTACCATGTTCTGTCATCATTAATAATTTTTGATCCAATCAATATATATAATATTATTTATTTATTTTTTAATTATTATACATTGGGGATTTTATAAATAAAATTAATTCTTTTAAAAGTTTATGAAAAATGTAAAAAAAAATTTAAGATTTGTTACAAAATCTAAATGCATAAGTAGTAAAATAACCCCTAGTATTTTTCACCTTGTTTTAAGTACCGTGGAGTACACAATGGTTAAATGAGTTTTTTATACCAATAGACATATATCTAAGTTTTAAAATTGTACACATCTTTTATTATCATTTTATACATTTTTCAATGAAAATTCGCAGTCTTCTCGGAATAATATTTAACTTCGGGGGCAAATACTTGGATAACCTTAACAACCCAATGATTATATCTTTAATATTGTGAAAATAGTGACTCAATGAGAATAACATTATTGTTTTTTAAATTGTTTGTTTATATTTCAGGTTGAACAACTTTTCAAGTGACTGAAAATTTTTTATTTTTTTGATACTATGTAGAAATTGATATGGAAATTATTAACGAATACATTGATTTTTAACCTCACGTAATTTTTAATTCAATTTTAGACAATTTTTAATAAGTTATGTGTGTTGGCTAAAAAAATTGGGGGTTTTTAAAATGGTCAGAAAATTTGATAATTTTATATAGAATTTTTATTTAAGTTCTTTATTGATGCTAGAAGAAGGGTGTAAAGTATAAGTTTTGAGTCGCAACTTCAAATTTTGGGGCGTGCTAAATTCATTTCACTCTCTAAAAATTTGTTTGTATAACAATATATATAATTTTTAACACTTTGGTGGGATAAATATTCAACTGGAGAGTTTAAGTCCCTTCTTGACCTTTAATTGGGATTATGCAAATAATAATAAATATAATATGGGTTGATAAAATTACACAGCCTTGCGGTAATAATGTATGCCTACTCTTCTATATCACTTTTTAAAAATTGACTGGTAAATCAGGGAAAAGTTAGAGAATTTGATATCCCAATATAACCACAGTATTCTATAATACGACTGTGCCAACGCAAGGACGTAAAGAGTGGATCAGCTGCCCTGAGCCTAGCACATTGCATTAGCGTAGTTAAGGTTTTTTAGTGAGGGGGAGCGAGATTACATAAAAATAGTTTATTAACCCTCTCTAAAAGAAAACAAATTTAATTTCATCTTGTAATCAATTTACAGAGGGATCAATCCTATCCTCGTGGCATAAAGAGCTCCGCAAATATGATTCGCCCCAGACCTCATAATCTAGTGATGGCATTGTGTAAGGGATATAACACTCTAAGCCTTATAACAAGCAAGCAAAATTATTTTTAAACAAACAAATTTACGTGAGATGAGAAACTTTTTTTCTTCATCTCTGAAATACTTCGACGACCAAAAAAATACGACAGGTATGTGTACCTTCTAACCCTCTTTAATGAATTTCAGAATAACCATAAAATTAAAAGAAAACACGTTAGCTAGAGTTGAAAATTATGGGATTATTATTGTAAAGATTTCAATAGTGCAAGGCTCGTTTTATAAAAGATTGATTAAGAAAAAATAATTAATGGTGATTTAAATAAATCTTAAATTCTTACCGTGTGATTCATTATCTAAACATTGCATTATTTGTTTTATCTTCTTTAATTGATCTAATTACACAACAAATATATTACATTAAATTGGTTGTATTTTTTAAAGATTTATTATAAAAATTATAATTAAAATTATTGAACTTTGATGACTCAATAATTTATATATGAATCAGCGTTAATTAAAAACAACCCAGCACAGGGGGGTCGCGGTACAGTTGTGACGTGGTATAGTTGGATCAAGTATAATGATATCTGACAGTGATTAAAATCACTATCAAAAATAAACGCTTCGATGCAAATCTTTAGATAGTGCTTAATTTAAAAAAAATTGGTGTTTTATTCCAAAAGCTACTTGATCTGCTGGTTCCTTATTAATATCTCGATAAAGATAAAGTATGTCAAATGAAAAAGGGTTTATTAAAAAATATTATTTCTCATAAAAAAATTGTGTGGATCCATAAACTTTTCAATAAGTTATAGCATTATAAAGTTAAATATTATATAAATAATAAAATCGAGAATTTTCACACGNAATATTATTTGTTAATTCACCAGTCTCAGGCAGCGGATGTGCTGTCTGTATTTTATTAAAATAATTCTCACGATTATGAAAACGTGACACCATCACAGGAGCAACAAAGGATTCTTCAACTCTATAATTTATATTGATGGATAAGTGGCTAACATTTTTTCAAGGGTAAAACCTTAAAACGTGTCACCCAGTGTGTTTGCGACCAGTGCATTCTGAATGCACCCCTGTGTGTCAATTTATTAATGTGTTATCAATCAATATACTAGGAGTTTTTTGATATTTTCCAAAATTTTTAGAAGAGAATATTACAGAAATTAGAAAAGTCCCTCCAAAAATATAATTGAAATTACACCTACTGCAATAAAGAAAACAAATAAAAGTTAAATTAAGTTGATTAATTGTAAATTATTTAATAAAATGAATAATTCTTTAAGTCATAAATAAAATTTAGGGGGAGTTCAGGGAAGCTTAGTCCTTTCAAAAATTCAGAAAAATAATAATTATTCGTCATGTAAAAATACTTTTTATGAAGGAACATTAAATTGGATAAATATACACAAAAAAAAAACCCAGCACAGGGGGGTCGCGGCACAGTTGTGACGTGGTATAGTTGGATCAAGTATAATGATATCTGACAGTGATTAAAATCACTATCAAAAATAAACGCTTCGATGCAAATCTTTAGATAGTGTTTAATTTTAAAAAAATTGGTGTTTTATTCCAAAAGCTACTTGATCTGCTGGTTCCTTATTAATATCTCGATTAAGATAAAGTATGTCGAATGAAAAAGGGTTTATTAAAAAATATTATTTCTCATAAAAAAATTGTGTGGATCCATAAACTTTTCAATAAGTTATAGCATTATAAAGTTAAATATAATATAAATAATAAAATCGAGAATTTTCACACGAAAATAGCATTCGGTAGCCATTTTCGCCGTGAAGACAAGTCCAGAGGTCAAATTTTTTTTTTTCAAATTAAAGTATATTACATTAGCTTTAATTTAAGATATATATAAAAGTGTCAGACCTTCCGGAACATTTTCAAAAGTTAAGTTGAAAAAGTTAATTTTTTGTGAAAAAGTTGTCATTTTAAATCCCCCCCTGTGGGCAGGTTAAGTGTCAGATTTACAAAAAAAATATACCAAATGATAGGTAAAGACATCAAGCATCTATATAAAAAAAAATTATATTGATATGTTCATTTTTGAAAAAGTTACGGCAGTTTTTAGTAAAAAAAATTGAAAAAATTTCGAAAATTAGCGATTTTTAAATTTGTAATTTTTTTGGAGGTTTCCCCCATTTACAGGGAACGAGGGAATTTTTTTCAATTTTGAAGGGTAATGTCTTCGACTAGATACGATTTGTGATCTTTTGACGTATCGTTGAAAGAAATCCGTTCGGTGAGAGCTGAGAAAAAGTGGTAACAGACACAAAAAAAAAAAATAATAAAAATAAAAAAAAAAACACATCTTAGTAAAACTAATACCTTCTCAGCTTCGCATCGAAGCTAAAAATTAGTTTAATAATGATTATTTATGTAGTACAAAATATATGATATTTGATTATTCAGAATTTCATAATTTCTACTTTCAGGTAATCATTCGATTTCTGACGAGGATATAATTATCAGTTGTTTGGAATTAGATCCAGACAGTCTAATAAAAAATAGTAATGTCATTTTACGTTAATTGATAATTTTAGCTATGATATAAAATATTTAGAGTATTGAATAACATAAATATGATATTCAAGAACTAGATCTATATTTAAGAGGCCGCATTACAAAATTAAAAATATGTTGATTGTTAACAATATTTTTTTTCTAAAACAAAAATCACTTACCATGAAATTAATATGTGCAATGATTTTGCATATTTCTTAAATTCATCACTAACTCTTCACTTATGCTTTATTGATATCTATAACATTATTAAGCTGATAAATTACTAAAATATCAGTAATATTGACAAAAAATTCATGAATTCAATGATATTTCTAGTTAAAATATTTTTAAAATATTCCAATTTTTATGACGTCAATTAAAATTATAATTTATTTGTGATAAATTTTAATTTTATATAATACAAATATTTTTACTTAAATTACTCGAATGATAAAAATAAGATTTCACAATAACATAGTTATTTAAAAAAAAAAATGTATTTATTTAGAAACTCCTAGAATTGAGTTAAAATTTGATAAATTAATTATTTCATATATAATAATATTATTGCCAAAAACTTGTTATAATACTAATGGCTGATAACATAACCATGTATAAAACTTAAATAAATAGTTTTTTTTATCCTCTTAATGCGTATAAAATTACGGAATCGATAACATTTTTTGCTTTATTGATATCGATAACATTATTAAGCAAATTATTAAGAAAAATAAAGTAGATAATCAAAGACATATTATTACGAACCTAACTTTAATAGCATCATTTCAAGTAAATAACTAGGATCATTATAACTATTTGTGTAAAGTAAAACAAAAATATTACTTTTTGATATCCTTTGTGCATATTATACATATTTTTTAAAAAAATTAATTAATTATTTATAAAATAATTTATATGGATATAGTAAAATTAGAATTAGTGCAATGTCAATGACTGATTAAAATTTCGTTAATTGACCAAAAACATTTTGACCAGTCATAATCTGGTCGATATACAAACTGTGTGTTTAATTTTAAAATTTTACTATAAAACACAATCTTTTTGCACATTTGGTCACGTAATGAAAATATTTGTTTTACTTTTTTTCAAATTTACGTATTAAAAATGGAAGTTAAGTTCAATTAACGTTGAAATGTAAATGAATCACCCTAAGACATACATGTATGTATGAATAGCCATAACAAAATTATATGGTATTTATATTTATAGTAACACTATAAAATTTAAAAAATTGATTTCCTTGTTGTAGTTTTATAGTAGGTAATTCGATTTCATACTTATTTTTGAAAATAAAATTATCTTTTATGTACATAGAAAAAATTTCTATTAGCTAACTCAACTTAGGGTAAAAAATTATATCTAGTAACTTAACTTATTTTACTGTTACAATTTAGTGACTTTATATAACTCTTAACATTACAAGTTAGAAAAAATTACCAACTTATCCAGCCTAAATTTATAATAAAATAAAAAACAAATTTTACCGAATTTGACCATTTAATAAGTTAAAATCTAGTTAATTAACCAAAAAGATTTTGACTAGTCAACAAACCAACCATAAATAAAATGAAAAATGATTATTATACTATCAAAGTTATCCTATGTTACGATATTTATTTAAAAATATTCTTCTAAATTTGAATTTAAAAAACTTTTTTACAAAATATTTATTTGGAGTTAATATTTTTTATAATTTTCAGAATTACCAGAAAATATCGAATATCAAACCATTTTTAACAATCGAAAGAATATAATATGGGAATCTCTTGAACATTTGTTGGATTCTTATAATAGCGGTATTTAAATCTTTAGTCTCATATAAAAAAACTTCAGTAAATTTTAAAATAATTATCTGATTACAAGCTTTTGTATGTATTAAATAACAATTATGGACTTTATATTTAACGCAATACGTGGACTCATTAAATAATTGTACAATAGAAGTGGTCCTAGAAATGTTAGCCGACTTATTTTTAGAGCTGGAATTTTTTTTTTTTATTAAAGAGTTTTTTATTAGTCAACACATTTTAAAAAAAAAATTGCCAACTAAAATTTGAGTATAAACTTTATTTTTGTTCTTTTCTTAAATTTTTTTTTTTAAGCGATTTCTTTACCGAATTGTTAAACTTACCAAATTGCTTAGTTGGTAGTTAAGGTTGAGGGGGTGACTTACCTTCTAAAGTACCGCTTCTAGTTTTCATGATGAGAAAGGCCTATGGAAACCAGATAAATAAAATAACAATAATCGTCCAATTATGCTCAATCGCAATCTTAAAATTTATAAAAGATACTATAAATAAATTATTTACTTCAAAAATTTTACGATAAAATCGACAGTGTAAAATATATTAGTAATAAAATCGTAAATTTATTAATTAATGTTACGCTTAAAAATGTTGATAGACGAACGTGGAGATCTTTTGACAATGTGACATTCATTCAACTTCTTAACAATAGTCTTATACCCTTTCCTTAAATGGTCATTGTATGTTAAAAATAATACATTAGGCTCATCGCTCAATCATTTTTGATAGTGTGTACTATATATAAGCCAACAGTGTATTTATATACGTGTTACGGGAAAACACTTTGCCACGAACAGAATGTTGCAAATTTACTCCGATATTTAGTTAAGTGGTTATTGCTCCTAATATCTGGTATTCCGAACATCTAATATCATATCAGGTTACCGTGACCATGAACCAAGATATTACACCAAAATTAGAAAGACAAAATTAACAAAAAACCGAGAAATAAGTATGCCATTCAATACACCACTGAAATTTATACTACCAATGCCAAAAAATTCTGAATGAAAATTCATAGTTAGATTTATATGTATTCTTAATATAACAAATTAAGATATTTTTTAAGTTAAATTAAATATTTTAATAATTTTATCACTTTCAGCTAAATATTGAGTATTTCACCAATTTATATTTATTTCAGATAACGAGAAATTGTGCAATAATGATAATAATATGTTGTGCAGACTATGCGGGCTTCATAATTTTTTTGGTACTAAGTATATAAATCATTATGGTGGTTGTAATAAGAAAAGACAATGTATGTTTGATTTTCAACTTGATGAAGCAATTTATGATAGAGTTATGATAGAAGATATATACATAAAAAGCTTGGATAAAAACTCTCAAATGTCTAAAAGAATTGCTATATTTAGGATAGGAGGAAATCCTTCTGAGACATGAAAGATTATCAAAATTAGTATAGTAAAAACTCGTTAATACACGGATTTTTATTAACCCAGTTATTCATTTATCTTTTAACGTTAAAAAAAATCACAGTTAATACGAATAACTGCATATGTTTATAAGCATCTCTAACTTTTAAATATTAAAATAATCCTGCTTAACACGTCGATAAAAATCAAAGAAAATATAACAATTTATCATCAAATGAAATAACTTAATTTTATTAAAAAACGATTCAACTAAAATAAGACGTTTTATCAGTTTGTACTTTACAACCTTCGCAGATAGTTTGGTCGTTTTATACTATCAAATTATATCGTACAATAATATATGTATATTTATGTATAGATAAAGTGTTATAAGTTTTCATTTTTTCTTAATAATTTGGTTTTAAATCCTATTTAAATCTCTTCTATAGTGCATCAAAGGGATCTCACTTAATACGCCTTCCAGTTTAATATATGGTAATACGATATACTCTTTGAGAGTCTATTAACGAGGTTTTACTGTATTACATATGCTAATTAATTTCAAACAATATTAAAATATAAATAGATAAAAAATAATTATAAGTATTTGAATAACATTTAATTAATTTATGTAGTAAAAGAATTATACCTACAAATTGAAACTTGTATTGTAAAAATATTTAAATTATTGCTTATATGTAGAAATAATACTTTATTATTCATAAAATTTCAACTAAAATTTTTGTAAATGTAGTGTTATACTAAATATTTTGCTACATAATAAAATTTTAATTTATATTATAAAAAATGTTCTATATTCTATAAATCATAAATCATAAGTGATAGTTATTTCTTATTGATGTGTAAAGTTAAGTTTGTGTCTGTAATAAATTAAAAATAAAAGAACAGACTTGGTGGTGGAAAATTTGGATGATAAATATTTATTGTCTAACTTGTATAATTTTTTATTAATTGTTTATTACGCAATAGATTGATGGAGATTCGAAAGCATAGGTTAAATTGTACTTATCTTACGTCCTATGTAATGCAATAATATTTCAAGTAATCCAACGTTGAATCTGGTACTAAATGCACTACTTATACGATTTACACTATACGTCATTATAGTCTTATAATTACTTACAAAAACGATTCAAATTTTAAAGAATATGATTTAATTGCACAAAGTCTAAGACTGATTTTATTTGTAAAAGATTACAAACACTATTTTTTATTAGAAATATAATTTATAATTTGTCCTTATTATTTTCTTACGTTTGTTGAATTGATATTTTCTTTTGAGAGAATATATTTTATTGAGAGATTGACACCAATATTTCTTAAATGTATATTTAAAAAAAAAAGCGGTCGTATTTTCCACCGTCTTCCCGTCCCAATAAAAAAAATTAGTTTGGGTGCGCAAAAAAATTTTAAAAAAAGTAAAAGAGCTACGTTCCCCTTACGCACTCCCCCCTCAATTTGAGCACTGGGTACAATAATAACCAAGACAAAAATTAAACACTACAAATATACCGTAAGGTTCTCTACGTTGTCTGCTGGGACGATGTTTGTTAAAACATGACATTGAGTGACGAGACTAGCTACCCAATAAGGAAAGCTCACAATATATTTTTAATGTTAAATAAAAATTTTAAGTTGTGTTGGGTTTATAAAATAGTTAGAAAAAAAAGGTTTAATGTATAAAATACTATTGCACATTTATTTCTATAATAAGAAAAATAAGTAAATAAAATATTATAATTTAATAAACAAATTAATTTATATTAAAAGATTCACCAAAACAAATTCACTTTAAAATTTCTAAGTATCATTTAATTCTTTAAAGAAAAGTATTATAAGTCCAAAAAATTAGATAATAGACTAAGTGTTTTTAAATTGATAAATATATCTACAATAAGTAGATTTTATCCCATAATTAACTGGTTATTTTGTATTTTAAATAAGAGAACCCTGTTTTGGTAATGTATATTCATAATATGTGACATTAGGGTGGCCCTCAAAAATCGAATGTCTTTTTTTTTTTTACGCTACCCCTTAATTTTTTTTTAATGGTCAAAAAAATGAGCTGTGCAAAATTTGGGACCGATCCGTTAAGGTTAACCCGTGCCCCCGGGCCTATTAAGTTGAGTCGAAGAGTCAAATTTAATAGAAATAACTGATCTATGTCTCATAACTTTTTTTTCTCTTAACTTAGAATAATAAAAGTAAAACTCAAGTAAAGGAAATTTTACAAGAAATTCAAAAATAATAACTTCAATGTTGTTTTCTCAATAAATAGCCCACAAAAACACTACATAC